TTTATAATTTGGTAACAATGAAGAAATTACTGTCCAGATATATTAATTATCTATTAGTGTATAACAAACTACCTCAAAACTTAACAGCTTAAAACATCAGTAAAGAGTTGTTTTCTCACACAGTTTCTGTGGATCAGAATCCAGAAACAGCTTAGCTGAGTGTTTTTGGCTCAGGATGTCTCATGAGGCTGCACCCAAAAAGGGTTGGAAGATCCATTTCCAAGATGTCTCACTTACATGGCTGTTGGTGGAAGGCCTCAGTTCCTCACCATGTGGGCCTGTCCATAGGGCTGCTTGAGTGCCCTGATGACATGGCAGCTGGCTTCCCCCACGTGGGGGATCCAAAAGAGAGCAAGGTGGAAGCCACAATGTCTTTTGTGACCCAGACTCAGAAGCTACACACCATCATTTCTGCACAGGTTGGCCGTATTCTTTGTGGGAAGGGACCACACAAGGCATGAATAACAAGAGGTGAGGATCACATCTTGGAGACTGGCTACCACACATGGGAAGTGGGTATGGTATATGGAAAGAGCATAAGCTTCAATCTAGGTTCAAATCCTATTTTGGCCACTTAACTAATTTGCCCAAGTTTAAGCACTGTTAAGCTTGTTTATAAAATGAGGATAGCAATTCCACAGTCCTAGGATTTTTGATAAGGTGAAATGAGATCATCAATATAAAGTACCCTACATGTTTGGAATTCAGTAAATAGCATCTATTTAATTTTATTATTTTAAATTTAGCTTAACGTCAGCCTTTATAAATACACCTGGAAGAGTGAATAAGTCATTGACAATAGTTAGGTTAATCCTGAATATTGTTTTTTAAAAATTAGGTATTTTGCCACACTATCAAGGGACAGAAAATTTTACTGAATTAATGGTATATATAGTATTTAAACAACTTGTATCAGTGTAGTTGCTGAGTTCTAATTGTTTAAAGCACACACACATACATGCACGATGACTTGCATCTTCTGTTTGGATGTAATTGGAAAGTCATGGTCGTTATACTGGCTTCTAGCCGGAATATGTTCCTGTCATTTAAAAGGCATATCACAGGACACAGCAAATCCACATTTGTCTAGTTCATAACCTCTATATCTTTTTTCCTCTCACAGATGGAGGTTTACTGTTCTGATTTTCATGCTGAAAGAGCAGCAAGAGAGAAGATTCATGAAGAAAAGGAGCAACTGGCATTGCAGCTGGCAATTTTGCTGAAAGAAAATAATGTATTTGAAGATGGAGGCAGGTAAGGTAAAGGAGAGGAAGACTTAGAGCACACACCGATTTGGGCTATAGAAGAGGTGATCTGTCAAAGATGTTTCATAATTTGAGCTGTAAGAGTTGCTCAGTATACTTCATTTGATCGTGTTCGTAACACTGAGTTTGGCTTACTATAAGGCTTTGTAGAGTCTTATGGGAACCTGATTGAGTTCCTTGCTTATAGATAAGCTGTAAAAACATGATATTATATGTTCTGACGTCATATCTTGCCATGGTAATGGATAAAATATTCGTAACTCTTTAAATTCTCTAATGTATTTTAAAAGAAAATACTACTAAAATTACTTCTGAGTTTTAAAAATTCATTTTGAGAATTTTA